GGTGATACTTGACTTTGCTCTGGCATTTTCAACAAGTATATCTCATTCATCTCATGGTCACTCCCAATCACATTTTGAGATCTCATGTTCTAAAAAAGCATAATAAGAAGGAAAGAAGGTTACACTACAGTTCAAAGATTTTGTCAAATTACTAATAGAAAGCAACTTAGTGTTAAGCTTAAGAACATGGAGGACTAAAGATAAGGCGAGAGTTTCTGAAGCTTTGATGTCTCCCTTGCTTGACATAGGAGCAAGAGAACCATCAACAAGAGAAATCATCTTGCCTATATAAGAGTTGGTAAGTAGAAAATAAATGGGGCACACTAGTCATATGCATGGTTCAAAGTATCGATATGATATGCCCGATACGGGGTGTATCGTATCGTATCTTTTGAAAAAGATACGGTCTGAAACGCCTATTTCAAGGTGTTTCGGACCCCCAATTATTTTTTATAATAAAAAACATGCTAAAAGCTTCCCAAAAAACCAAAATGTGAAAAAAAACTAAAAATAAAATAAAGTTTCAGCCGTTTCTAAGTACCGATACGATACGACCGAAACTCGCATCGTATCGATACTTTGAACCTTGGCCATATGGTTAGAGGCATTAGAATCTATTATCCAAGGGATTCTACGATTACTTGAGATAGAAGTATGGTTCATAGTGGCATAAATACCTAGATGTAGGCTGAAGGGGAATTGTTTCCTGAGGAAGTAGTAACTATAGTCAAGGTTCAAAGTATCGATACGATATGAGTTTCGGTCGTATCGTATCAATACTTAGAAATGGCCGAAACTTTATTTTTTTTATAGTTTTTTTTCACATTTTGTTTTTTTGGGAAGCTTTTAGTATGCTTTTTATTATTAAAAAAATTGGGGGTACTAGGCGTTTCGGACTGTATCTTTTTCAAAAGATACGACACGCCTCGTATCGGGCGTATCGTATCGATACTTTGAACCATGACTTCAGTGGTAGATTCTAAATGACTAATGAGCTGGTCATACTTCTCATACTCTGTTCTGGTGTCTGCAAGCTGTTCCCTCTCTAATTTCTCATCATTGGATCCTTTCTCAGCCTCCGAGGAGGTGACTACATTAGCATTGCCACCTTTCCCACTCCCATTCTTTTTACCATTATTATTGTTCTAGAATCTATGAGGTAAGAGCTCCGGATGTAGCTTCCAATATGTGGTAGATTCTAAATGACTAATGAGCTGGCCATACTTCTCATACTCTGTTCTGGTGGCTGCAAGCTGTTCCCTCTCTAATTTCTCATCATTGGATCCTTTCTCAACCTCTGAGGAGGTGACTACATTAGCATTGCCACCTTTCCCACTCCCATTCTTTTTACCATTATTATTGTTCTAGAATTTATGAGGTAAGAGCTCTGGATGTAGCTTCCAATATGTATCCTTCGTGTGCTTAGGTTTCTTGCAACATTGGTTGTCGTTGGTTTCATTCCAACATTGGCAAAGTGATCATTTGGGACTTCTGCAACTTGCACCTATCTCCTACTCTCCTCACTACTATAACCATAGCATAAGGTCACTTCATCCTTTGCTAGAATGTTCTGTCAGACAATATCATATTCGGGGTTAAGTCCAATAAGGAATTCAAAGACCCGAGTCCTTTCCACTAACTTCCTATGAATCTCAGCATCCTTAGTGCACCCCCACACAACAGTTTCCATCAGGTCAATCTTCTACCAAAGAGATTTTCTTTGATAATTGAATGAGGTTTATTAATAACCAAAGATAAGGGAGTACAAGCTTCCCAAGGAGAGGCACGAGATGCGACATCTCCACACTAGTTAATTACAACTTTCCAAACTCACTAGAACAAGTTACATGTTAGCACAAAAAAGACCTTCCCTGGAAACCCCTTGTTTGGCCAAGGAATCAGCCACAATGTTTTCCGACGTGCTTACCCATTTAACATCAATTCTCATATTACTAGTTAACCACTTCACTTTTTTGAGGTCTCTGTAGCCCCAAATGACAATATACGGGTTTAAAAGCCACCCTATTACCACCTGAGAATCCCCATCAATTAGAAGATGTTCCACCCAAGCTGGTTTGCAATCTGGATCCCTTGTACAGCAGCTAGTATTTCTACCCTTGTAGAGTCTCCCACTCCCACCGGTACTGAGAATAAGGAAATAATGTTGTTGCCCTTGTTCCTCAGCACACCCCTACACCCGAAGGCCTAAGGTTACCTTGGCTGCTACCATCAAAGTTTAATTTAATGATACTTTCTGCAGGAGGTTCCCACTCTATCACACTTCTATTCTTTCTAGTGGAGGTATTGGCCACTGCTAACCAATTCCTCCAAAGATCATCAAAAGAGAAATTAGCAATCATGACCAAGGTCTTCAGCCAATGGATTGCTCTTGTTAAGATACAGTCCACTTCATCAAAGCTTCTTTCCTTTTCTAGGAAGATTCTAGCATTTCTTTCCTCCCAAATAGTCCATAAGATAGCAGCCCTGATATATTTCCACATAATTTTACCTCCTTTCATGTGCCACTCGAGGGTAGATGGATTAAGCAAATACTTACATCAGATGGCAGAATAAGTTTACCAAAGAGATTTCAGCATAGAGAAATAAACAGCTAAAGTCTTCTTCTCTGTCATAGATTATTCACATCATTCTTCAGTTTGTAAGCCCTAGCAACATTCAACTTCTGGGAATGTCTTTGTGACACTATTCTACACCTTTGCATCATCTATCCACAGATAATGCTGGTTGATATGAGGCTGCATGGTATTTACTAACCAACCTAGAACTATATAGTTTTCCTACATCTACTTTTCATAGGCATGGTCATCTTCCTTATGCTTCTTACTCCAGTAATGTACCCCCATTTCCCTCTACTGCAGACATGGATCTTAATTGACGAAAACCATACCAAATAATTAGTCCCATCTAATTTTATTGAGGTTACTGCTCCTAACAGAGCCTTTATCGGCCCTCTCGAGCCAAACCCAGAGTCTATAGGTTGTTTCATCTCACCTCCAGTTTGCTTTATTGGCCAAATGGAAACAAACGAAAATAAAATTAAGGTTCTACTAATCAAGAAACACTGCCCTAAGGCCAAAACTGCTCAACCAGTCATGATATGGTTTCACCATACCTGACAACCTAGGAGAGAGAGAGAGAGAGAAAGTCTAACCGCCCCTTCCTAGAACTCTAGAAATCTTTCCAGCCCAGATTGATCTCAATAATGACCAAAAAGCTTCTATTCTAGCCCCAAGTGCCAGGTAAAATCTATCTCTATACCCCTTAATCCAGGTTCTCCAATTAGCTAGGGTTTTCGGGAAATTCTCCTAGAACCTGTCTTGGGTCTCATACAAAGAATGTAATCCTCTCCAGAAACCTCCCCCAACTGTATAAACTGTTAATCAATCACCCAATCAATTCTCCATACACACTGTGTATGGGCTTAAATGAGGAAGAACTGAAGAAGGTAGGTACTCTGCTATGATACCATGATGTAAATCACACCTGCACAAATCTGAAAATAAAGTTGACAAAAAAGAAGAACAAGAGAAGGAAAGGAAGAGAAGGAAGAAGAGAGGCCTCATACAAGAAATATGAATTTTAGGTTCCAGTGGGTTAGCAGATCAGCAAATGCAATGGCTGATTCTCTGGCCAAGCAAGGGGTGTCAAGGGGTGATCTGTTTTGGGCTACTTTGTAATTTGTATCTCAGGTTTGGGCTTGTTTACTGTTTATGATTCAGTCCTTGGGGGAGGTAACATCTCGTGCCTCTTCCTAGGCTGCTTATATTTCTGATGTTTATTTCAATAAAATTACTCTCATTTATCAAAAAAAAAAAGAAGTGAGGCTATCGAACCTCTTTCCAGCCCCTCAAATATACTTTTATTAGAATACATTGTAATATGAAGATAATTACAACTATGCCCTTAGTAGCACGGCCAGCTAATTAAGACAATAAAGAAAACTAAAACAGGCCCATAACCAAGGCTCACTAATAAAGATATAACACATAACAATGCTGTAACTAAAAAGAAAAGGAACTATGGTCAATCTGGCCCATTATCTCTACAGGAATGTTGAACAAAGTTGAAAATTTTCATTCCATATAGATTTGTATAGAGATGAATATGATTCACATCTATGTTAGCTTCTCTCAAAAAAAGTATGTCATTTTTTTTAATAATTTGTGGGGACTGGGGTGGGGTTGCAGGAGGGTATGTTTTTCTGAAATGTCTGGGTTTTGGAACTGAACTTAGGAATCTTGGAGATTTGATTTTGAAAATATATCAAGGATGGTTGTTTTATAGAGATCTATCTTGATCCTTACAAGCTATTAAATGGTGTCTCAATGGCTTTTTATCGTACATGATAAAGCAAGCTAGACTCAACTGTGCATGCATAAAGTGGATGTCTCTGATTGCTTTACTACCTTCCATTGTTTTAGCATTCTAACATGGGTGCAAAATATTTCACTGTGCTATGGAATTGAATATTTTATTTTATTTTTTATTTTTTTTGCTTTGATAGTACACTTGGACTTGGTGCTTGACTGCATTTGTCATAAGAAAGGAAAATACGTGGTAGTTATTTCTTATTGGAGCAGTAATCTTCTTCCATATGATCCTCTGGCACTCCTAAAATTGCAAAAAAAGTTTTGGACTTTAGCAGGGTATATCTGTTATTTTCTTTGTAAATCTTTATTTAATAAATGTTCTGATACATGTGTGGTATTGTACAGGTAGTTAGAACTAATGTACTTCACAGTTTTGGTGTTTTTACTTTTTACGGATAAAGCTACCCTTGCATTGTTGAAAATCTATTTCACTCTTTGGATGGTTTTCATTGTGTTATGTCATGGCACATTATCTAGTTCACGCGCTGAAGGAAACAAAAATAGGAGTGTAGATGTATTGGTACCCTGGTTGGAGGGGGAAGAAGGCACTTTTGTTTACTAACGATACTGGTAGGGCTGCTTATTTACACATCTTCCTTTTGGTCCCAGGTGGCAGTTGCTCTTTCACATGCTGCAATTTTGGAAGAATCTATGAGGGCAAGAGATATGCTTTTGGAGCAAAACGTTGCTCTGGATTTGGCAAGGAGAGAAGCAGAAACAGCAATTTGTGCTCGTAATGACTTTCTGGCAGTTATGAACCATGAGATGCGAACACCTATGCATGCAATTATTGCACTCTCTTCCTTACTGCAGGAAACTGAGCTGACACCTGAACAACGCTTGATGGTCGAGACAATCTTGAAGAGCAGTAACCTCTTAGCAACACTCATTAATGATGTTTTAGATCTCTCAAGGCTTGAAGATGGAAGCCTTGAACTGGATATTGGGACTTTTAACCTTCATTCAGTATTCAGAGAGGTAGGGCTTTTAATAACCTGTGGGTGGTTTTTACTGTCTTATTAGTAATGAATGGTTTGGTTTCAGTTGCTGGTTTTTTCTTGGATCTTTAGGCAGGATTGTGATAATATGTGAATGAATGCCTATTTGTCAATATAGGTTGTAAACTTGATCAAGCCTATTGCTTCTGTCAAAAGGTTGCTGGTGTCATTAAATTTGGCTCACGATTTGCCAGAGTATGCTGTTGGAGATGAAAAACGTCTCATGCAAACCATTTTAAATGTAGTGGGTAATGCTGTGAAATTTTCAAAAGAGGGCAACATCTTAATTTCTGCTTGTATTGCTAAGGCAGAATCTTTAAGAGACTCCCACATTCCTGAATTTTCTCCACTGCTAAGTGATAAACACTTCTATTTGCGAGTACAGGTTTGTTTGTTCTATATATTTGATATTTCTTTTGGAGGTTGCCTTATTGTTGAGTTTTCAAGTTAAATGTGTACAATGTATTTGCATGCAGGTAAAAGATTCGGGATCAGGAATTAGTCCCCAAGATATTCCAAAGATATTTAACAAATTTACACAAAATCATGCAACAGCAAATAGAAACTCTAGTGGCACAGGACTTGGGCTTGCTATTTGTAAGAGGTATTTAAGATTATTGGTTCTCCATATTGCAACTCTTGTATGTGACATGATCAACTCAAATGTTTTCCTGTATCTTGAATATGTCCTAAGTAGTTTTGTTGTTATACTTTCTAAAAATGTGGTCATCCATGTTTCTTATCTTTTTCTTTGTGCTGCAATCAGGTTTGTAAGTCTCATGAAGGGGCATATTTGGATTGAAAGTGAAGGTCTGGGAAAAGGGTGTACTGCTGTATTCATAGTGAGACTTGGGATTGCAGAGCACTCACATGATTCTGGGCACCATTTTATCCCTAAACTGCAAGCAAACCATGTGCAAGCAAGCTTTTCAGGACTTAAAGTTCTCCTAATGGATGACAATGGGTCAGTATGATAGCTATCCCTGGAACAAGTTTATATTGTTAAAAAAACTTGCTTTTCTTTGTTTATACTGGTGTTAGTAATGAAACTATGACTCTTTTCACAGCCTTTACCTTTGGTCTAGTGGGTAAATTTTGTTAATGGCTTTTGATTACCTGTTTTTTTATGGTATTTACTTTTGATTACCTGTTTGCTTTATGGTTTACTAAGCTTTCAAGGATTTTATAAAATAAATACTTGTGTAACCTTTTACTTTCTAGTTAGTCTTCTTCCTTTGTAGTAGTTTGGCCACGCTCGGGATTTCCTACTCACTTTTCCTACCCACTGTGAATTGGAGCCACACATCTCTATTATGAATTGAGAGATGTGTGGCTGCAATTCACGGCGGGTAGAGAGTGGGTAGGAAATCTGGGCTCGTTTTGCCAAAGCCTTTTTCTGGATCCCACACAAGACATGTTATGTGTTGGATCTGGAGCAGATCCAGCTAAATCCAAGTTCAAATTGAAAAAAAAAAAGTTTTAGGTCTTATCAGTTCTGAATCCGGATCCAACCAGATTCAACAATCATATCAATCCATTGTAATATAACCCAAAATAAATCTGACCCTTTAACTTGCAAATACACCTTTCTGGCATTATGCTCTGAACATGGTTCTGTGTTAGATCCATGCAATTAAGCCCACATATGACCTATTTTAGAATTGAGACATTTTGGCAACCCCAACCTGCTAAATATGGATGCTACACATGGTCTGGTCTCAGGTCAACCTGCTTTATTAATGCCCTAGTCCTACCGAATGAAAAGGTGCGTAGTGGTGGAATGCATGCCTTTTGGTTTCTAATGGTTGGTTAACATGTCATTCTTTGAGTAATTTATATTTGCATTCAAATTCCTCTATTTTAGTGGAGCAAAGGGTGTATGAATTGGGTGAAATTTACCGGCCAATGATAGGGAGACTTCATTTGGGTACACCATTGGTGAGTCCCCATGGTGCATCCACCAATCACAAGAGGGAGCTTCGCCTTGTTGGCATGCTTCCCCATGATTTTGTAATGTGAAGTTTCAAGATTTGCATAAGATATGGTAGACTGCAAAATTTGATATTCTTTTATACTATGGGAGACAGTGGGTGCTAACATAGGAGATCTTGCAAATAAAAGGATTTACAGACATGCCTATAGAAAAGTGTAAACTATCAAAATAGTCCATATTTTGTTGGATTTTAACATTATAAACCTATCTCTATTATTTTTTGTCATATATTTCTTTTTGTTACTTGATAACATGTTATAGGAAAAATGACAATCATGGTGTACGTTATCTGTTCGTTTTTGTTGAATGAGCAAGGAAAAAGAAAAAGAAAAATGTTACATAGACTTGTCATTATTGTACATAAAGTGAACTCTGATGTGTGTCTGACATGGGCACTGCATCTATTTAGGAGAGTCCTTGCAACATTTTTTGTTGGCTGATGTAGCCCTATATATTACAGTTTACAACTTGGTGTATCCAATGTTTTATGGGTTTCTATGTCAAACTGATCTTTTTGTTCCAATCTTTTCTGTTTGCTCTTCTAGATGGAAGTTTTTCCTGAAAAAAATAATTTACTGAATTTTTAGATTATGATACACAAAACATGGAAACTATTGTTTCTGGGCTACCATGACCTCTCTCTTGGTATGGTTGGCATTGCTGTACTTAGTAGATATCTTAAATGTTGCAGTACCATGCTTTTCATTTTTTCTCCTATCCAAATGGAGTAAGGGTTAGACACTAAGGCCTTGTTTCACGTGCTGTGGGAATTTCTATATGCTATAAATTTCTAGAAGCAATTCTGATCTGCATATGGTTTTGGTTTGAGTAGTGGCGATGGTTGAACTGCTGCAGTTCTATTATTGATTTTTATTAGTTACCCTCCACTTCAAGCTGGGAAGAAAGTAGCTCTGCTCATCACAAGCCCTTGAATTATTCCTATCTTCCAATAGTTGTCCAGATTCAAAATGTAAAATCCTTCTAATTGTCCAAACACAATCATTACCTGTCACCTGAAATATTCTTGTTTGTCTCATGAAACAACTGAAAAGGGAAGTTCTTTTCTTTGTGACATCACAGAATCACCAGGATGGTGACAAAGGGACTTCTTGTGCATCTGGGATGTGATGTGACAGTTGTTACCTCTGGTGATGAGTGCTTGAGGGTTGTTACTCAGGAGCACATGGTTCTTTTTCTGGATCTAAGCATTACTGGGATGGGTGCATATGAAGTTGCAGTCTGTGTACATGAAAGATTTCCGAAACGTCATGAGAGGCCGCTGCTAGTGGCACTTACAGGGAACACAGAAAAAGCAACCAAGGAGAACTGCTTGAGAGCTGGTATGGATGGTGTCATACTGAAACCTGTTTCCCTTGAGAAGATGAGAAATGTTTTGTTAGAACTCTTAGAGCATCAGGCCCCACGGGAAGTCCAGTAAGTAGTAGTTAAATACAGGCATCAGGGAGTTGACTTGAGGGAGTCACCACCTGAAAAGATAAATTTCAGAAGCTGCAGCTGCACACGTCCACGCCATTCTCATCCCGTATTCCATGGCATGATGGCCAAAGTCGTCTCTCCAGCGAAGCATGGAAGGATATTTTACTACTAATGGTATTAGTATTCTTATCCCAAAGAAGTGACAAAGGAATGGAGCAAGTAATCCAGATTGGACTGCATGCTGTGGGTCTTGATCTCATACTTAAAGGGCTGCTATTTCTGCTTCAAAGCCTGATCGTTCTCATCAGCAACCACATGATATATAAAAGTAAATATGTGCCATCTTCTCTACGTGTATGGTAAGAGTTGATACTTCAGTAATATTATATGTAACATTATTATCTTCTACAGTCTTCTCTGTGAGTCTTTATCTTCAACAGCCTTGCTTCTTGGTCCTGTGCATATGCGAACTTGTGCAAATTGCAAAATGTGGTGTCCGGGGATACGTCCTTGGGTAATGATCTTTAGAGTTATAGCTGGTCTGGGCGCCTGTCTCGTTTAATAGGAGTGACTAATAGCCTACTAAGTTATGTTCTCATTTGGGTAATTGTTAATAATTTAGGTTGTGTTTCTACCCTAAATGTTTTGGGTTGATCATTACAAATTGCTGTTTCAACTATAAACACTTGCTAGTATCGTGCATCTTTTTATCTGAAAGCGACTCTTGTATGTGATATAACAATACATATTTCTCATCAATTTATATTGATCAATCCAAGATGTTTCAGTTGGAAACAGCAATTGTATACATTAGATGGTGAGATTAGATAAATTGTAAAAAGTCCTATTTAACTCTTACACACTAAGGCCATGTTTGGGAGTGCTTTTATTAAAAATAAGTGTTAAAAAACAAGTGCTTATTCCGATAAGCAATTATTTGCATTTGGTACCCAACTTTTTCAAATGTTTATTTTAAATAACAAGCACTTATTTCCTTTTGGGCGTTTGATAGTCTTTTTCTCCGATAAGCACTCAAATAATCATTTATGACTATTTTGTCTTTAATTTTCTTTCAAAATTTCAAAATATACCCTTATGCAAGGTTCAAAGTATCTTTATGTATCAACCTGTATTGGCCGATACGTATCGTTCCAGGACCCTTTTGATACGCCCCTACAATGGGTGTATTGGGGGTCTGACTGGTTCAGGGGATGGAGGGGTCCTAGATCGGCTCCCTTGAACCAATTTTGAAAAAAAATAAAAAAAAAGGTAAAAAAACGAGTATCAAAATGCCCGATACGCCCCTATCGGCGTATCGGGTGTATCGATATTTTGAACCTTGCCCTTATGAAAGTACTTTTATTAAATTACTTTTATAAAAACACTTATGAAAGCACTTTTATAAAATTAATTTTATGAAAAGTACTTTTCTATGAAAGCATTTTTATAAAAGTATTTTGTGAAAGCACTTTTAAGAAAGCACTTTAATAAAAGCATTTTTATTAAAATAATTTAATAAAAGTACTTTTTTGAGTAATTTTACAAAAGCATTTTTAGTAAAGTAATTTAATAAAAGTACTTTTATGAAAGTAACTTAATAAAAGTACTTTTACGAAAGTAATTTATTACTTTTATGAAAGCACTTTTATAAAAACATTTTTATGAAATCACTTTAATAGAAGCATATTTATGAAAGTAATTTAATAAAAACACGTTTATAAAAGAATTTTTTTAAAAGTACCTAAGAAAGCACTTTTATGAAAGTACTATTATAAAATTCAACTAGGGATAATTTTATAAGTGGTATTTTAAAATTCAACTAAGGATAGTTTTGGAAGAAAAATTTGAAAAAGTGCTTATTGTATAAGCATTTAAAAAAATTAGAATTTTGGGCTAAAAAATAAGCCTTTATTTTTAAAATAAGCACTTATTTTAGGCTTATTTCTCAAACACCAATAAGTGCTTAATGGTGTGGTCCCAACTTAAATAAACACTTATTTGGAATAATCACTTGTTTTTAAGTAGTCCCAAACATGGCCTAATAATCCGTGTCACAAGTGTATTTTTGTAGCTGAAAGTGATTCCTATATATGATGTGACCACATGTTTGTTTGCCAATTCCAAAACGAATGATACCAAACAGTGTTAGTTGGGGAGGTTTGATAAATAGGAAAAGGTCTTATCCAATTCTTAAACACCAATAATCAGTGTCACAAGGGCATTTTTCTAGCTGAAAGTGACTCTTATTTGGAATGTGACAGTAAATAATTCTTATCAACCAAAAACGTGTGTCAGGTAGAAGCAGCAATGCCACCAGTTAAATAGGAAAAAGTACTCTTGAGCAATGTATAGTTAGTGCTGCCGTCACCTTCCTGTTAACTCCTAAACAATGAATATAATTAAATGGTTAGTTCTGCTGTCACCTTCCTGCATGGCTGCTAGCCTCTACCAATCCTTGGGACACCAGGCGTTAGCATTCCTCAATTAATAAACATTAGATTCAATGGTTGAAATTGGAACTAATAACAGTCTTGAAATTTTTAAAATGCTTGTTTAAAGTACAATTGGTAATTTAGGTTTGGCTTGTTGGCATTGCAATTGAGACAATTGTGCTGGTGCAGAAGCACTGCAAATGAGATAATTGGCTGGTGCAGAACTAATGGAGCATGAGAGATTGAGAGTGCAAATTTTGATTTATTTTGGATTGAGATTTTTGCCTTGTTTTGTTTGTTATCATTGCAGATGAAGTAAAATAAACCTTAAGTAAAATCCAAAGCAAAAGTGAGGTAGAATTTTCATTATTTTTATTTGCATTATTAGTGCAAAAGAAATTGCATTGCAAATCAATGTTTTTGAACCGTTGTTGACCTGGGCGATCGGACCGTTCGGCTTGGAAACCGTCCAAGCAACCGGTTTTGTTTCACCCCTAACCCGTTCTTGAGTAAAAAATCGCTGACTTTGTCAGAAAACCGCTGACTCGGGCGGTCAAACCATCGACTTGTTTGACTCGGACAGCGGTTCGTTGTATAAAGTGGCAGAGATGAAAACTCAAATATGAGATCCAGTCTAAGACACGAACTCAGATCTGAGATCCAGCACAAAGAGAAGAAGAAGAAGAAGAAGAAGAAGAAGAAGAAGAAGAAGACAAGTGTTGCAGATCTTAGATCTTTTGTTGTCGTCACCATTATCGTCACCGGTGAGCGTTGAATCTTCCTCCTCCCTATCCTTCTTCCCTCCTTCCTTTCCTTTCTCTTTTCTTTTTTTTTTTCCTTTTTCCTTTTTCCTTTTTCCTTCCTTCCTTCCTTTCTTTTCTTCTTTCTTTTTTTTTTCTTTCTCAGCCGACAACATCTCTTCTCCAATTCTCCTTTATCAAATCTCATATAAATATTTGCCCTAATATTAAAACCGTTAGAACCATTCAACCCAGACGGTCGAACCGCTGACCCAGAAACTGGTAGCTAGAATGGTTCCATTTCTGGGTTGGTTTTTAAAACCTTGTTGCAAATAAAGGGTTTATTTTATACCTTATTTTCAATTGTTGCATTTGTTCGGTTGTGCCTGGTACAAGAAAATCAATGATAGGGTTCACAGTTTGAATTACCAATGGGTGTTGTTCCAACTTCAATTGTTTGGTTGGGCAGAATTAGAATTAAATACATTCTTGATGGAATTCAATTTCAAGGGATTTCAAATCTGATTCAGATTTTGATACCAATTGACCCGAATTGTTTATATATATATATATATATACATATAATCTTAGTTTTTTAAGGGTGATTAACAAGGCTTCATTTTGGTTTGTAGGAAGGAAAGGAAAAAAATGGAATCTTCCTTCCTTCATATTGATATACATATATGCCCTTAATTCCAATCATATTGATATACATATACATTTATTGTAGATGAAAAAGTACATAATTGTTTCATATTGATATTGGTAATGTTTCTGTGAAGTTACCTCTAAAACTAAACACTTATGAGACTCGCGTTAGTTTAGAATGTTCTCAACCGTTGGATAAACTTAGGGAGTTTATTCTGCCAAGGCTAACACTGGTGTGCTACTAAACAGTTGGAGTAGCTTGTTGTTGCTAGGGTTAGACCCTAAGCACATATAGTGTGTTTGGAAGAAATATTGAATCTGGACCGATTTTCAGTTATGCCTTGGACCTTGGAGATAGATGGGCAAAATTGGAAATTTACACATAACCCCAGACTTGATTATGGTACGACACTATGTGTTGGACTAGACTGTCTTTGATATGCCAATTAGTGAGATCCATCAAGGGTTAACACGTAGGCATGTTGGGGCAGTTTAGGAATTCACCTGAGTGGGTGATTATAGTTATAGGATCGGCCCCTTTGTCGGACAAAGTGAATATTAGGGCTTACACTCTCTGATGGAAACCTAAACTCTTGGTAGTGGATTTCAATTGTATTCGAAATTTGTTTTTTGCAAAAATGTATTTATATGTTATATACTTTTATTTTATGAAAAAGGTTTGCAAAATGTTTTAATCCCGGGATCCATCTGAATAGAGAGTGTGGCACTGCACTTTGTAGTCAGGGGAGAGGTCTTTCCCTGTTGGACAGTGTTTTGATCATTATGGGCTGAGAGGTTAAATGTAAGAGACCATTACAGGGTTGAATACTTGATGGGCTTTATCTCACTTAAGCCCATTATTCTAGGGTCTTCATAAGGTGGCTGAATCCAATGATCATTTAGGAGTAAAAGTTGGGCACAGATTGGGCCCATGATAATCGGCTTAGGGGTTCACTACTCTGAGCAATGAATTCAGCCTAACCTCTTTCAGAAGTGGGGCCAAACCCGTATGGACTTGAAAGAGACCATTGTGGGGTCCCACGCCATATCAAGCCTAAAATGGCCATGCAACTGTTAGACAGTTTTTGTATGCCCTTAGCTTCAATCAGAATGATGTATATTATGAGTTTATTGTAAATGAATAAAGTACATATTTGATTCATGTTCCTGTGGTGTGTTTCTGTGTAATACCTTAAACTGGACACTTAATGAGACTCGTGTTAGTTTAGAATGTTCACAACCAGTGGGTTGGTCTGGGGAGACCTATCATGATAAGGCTGACAATGATGTGCCACCAAGTTGGTTGGGGTGGCCTGTCTCAGCCGCTAGGGTGAGACCCAAGGCACATGCAGTGTAGGATTAATTGAATCTTTGAACCAGACCAGATTTCCAGTATTGC